TGGGTTTCCCACTCCTGTCCCCGCCAGGGCTTGCTCCCAGTGTATCCCTACCCCTTCTCTGCAGGGTGAAGGTGGCTGTGGCATTGCTGACCCAGCAGGCAAACACTCCGAAGTCGGCATCGTGCGTAAGGTTGACCTGCAGGACAGTGGCAAGGAGACGCTCCGAGGCATTTTGACCAAACCTAGGGAGAGAAGGAGCCACTGTGGGTTGGGCGGCCCAGAAAGCCAGACGGACATACCCTGGGGCAGGCTGCTTACCACGTGCTGTCCTGTCTGTTCTCACTGCCCAGCCACTGCCCATCCTTGGTCCAGATGGGGACAGGCTCGCAGTGCTCACTAATTGCCCAGCGCACAGTGCAGTTCAGCACAATCTGGCTTCCCAGGGCCAGCTCCAGTGTCTCGTTGGCAGCTGGGGCAAGGATTTCAGGAGGTACACTGCAAAAATCTGGAGGCACAGGGGGAAGGGGAAACCATCAGGGACCCAGCTTATGGCAATGGGGAATCATAGAACTGTTGAGTCATTACGGTTGGAAAAGATCTCTACAGTCATCAGTCCACTCCCACCACACTCCTTAAAACATGTCCCTAATTAGAACTGTAGAATCATTAGGGCTGGAATAGACCTGTAAGATCATTGAGTCCAACGCCTGCCCACCTCCACCACACCCACTGAACCATGTCCTCCGGTGCCGCATTTCTACGTTTCTTGCACACCTCCAAGGATGGTGACCCCACCACCTCCCTGGGCTGCAGAGCCACTGCATCACCACTCTCTCTGAGAACAAATTTTCCCTACTATTTAACCTAAGGCATGACTGCCCTGCTGCTGTCCTGGCTTCCCCAGAAAAACAAGCTCTGTTGTAAGGGTCTGGCAGGGAGCAGTGCTCTGCAGCAGGCTGGGCAGGTTTTTGAGGCTGGGGCCCACCCCAGAGCAGCAAGTGGGACCTCCACCATGCTTGAGAGTGAGGGGGCTGAAAACACTTGAAACATTGATTTTTGCAACCTACCTGCCATGGTGTGGTCAGAGACATTCAGCTGCTGGCATTGCGGTAGGAGGGACCTGGTGTCACACGTTTTCTGGGAGGACAAAGTCCACCTGTTTCTGCCACAGGGTGGATTGGGGCTGGGACAGAGAAGAAAATGGAATTTGGGTTAGGGTGTTGCTGCGAGGCCAAGTGAAACCACAGCCCTCAGGTCATCCTGGGACCCACAGTCCTACCGCAGACGCTCTTTGGATGTGCAACTGGGGTCCTTCCTTTGTGCTGCGTGGCTTAGCTGTGCACTGCTTCCAGTCCAATGTGCCTGTTGAAATTGCTAATTAAACCACAGGGTTTATTTATAGCAGCATGGGCTTCCTATTTTGTGAGCTTTCACACCCAGTGGCACAGCAGTAACATAAGGAGGCACAGTGCTGCCCTGTGGCTGTGCCCAGGTACCATCCCTGCATGGCACTGCCCCTTGGGAAGAGGGGCAGCAGGGAGGACACCCTGCACCTCGCCAATACATCACACTGGTTACAAAAGGAACCTGAAGCAGAGCTTGGCTGTAGCATTAGGCTCCTCTGTCCCTGAACACCCACAGAGCCCCCAATGCGGGTATTGTGCCTGCTGGGAATAACAAGGACGTCAGGATGCTGGTGTTTATGCAAGGCAGCACTACTGTAAACACATCCAGCCGAACCGCTGGGGCCAGCAGCGATAAAATCTGCCCTGGCTGCCTCTGCCCCAGAGCTTCTTCACTCCTGATAGCAAACTCGTTTGGAAATGATGAAACCTGGTTTTCCCCCAAAGAAACTGAGTCTGTGTTGTGGGTGTTATGTGGAAGGGGGAGGTCTGCAACTGGGGTTGGAGGTACCTCACCTACCTGTGCCACAGCAGCCGCAGCTCCGGGCAAAACTGGGGTCAAGGTACGCAGGGGACGCAGGGGACGCTTGAGCAGCTGGAAAATAATTGATACCTAAAGCATTAACTGATTTTTTTTCTGTGGTCAAGGATGGAAGAGCAGAGGCTGGAGAACCCCACTGCCAGGCTTTTGCATGGGGAAAGGATGGGGTGGTGTGGAGCTTTCCCAGCCTGCTGGCGATGCTCTGGTTGCGCTCAGTCCTGGCTCACCCATCCTTGTGTAGTTGGAAAGAAGGAAGTCCCAACAGGGTGTGGGCTAGCTGGAGAGCTCAAGGAGGCCCTCAGCAGTCCCAAGTCCCACAGGGAGGCATAATCTTTTCTTCAGGGGATGAAATGGGCGCTGAAAGGGAAACTCTGTGCGGGGCTGAAGGAGGAGCACAGGGAAACACACAACACACTGCCATTCCTATGTTTTGGTTTGAGGGATAGCCCAGTTCTGTAGTGATCCAAGTATGATAGCTGGACTGTGGTATCCCCCTGGAGGAAAGCCATGGGGAAAGCAAAGTAGGCAGGGAGCACGCAGCAAGGATGGAGGCTAAGCAACAGAGCTTGTAGGGAGAGGGTGAGACTCTACTGACCCTGGCCGAGACACTCCAACACAGAGTGGGAAGCAACAGAGAGCTATGTTTACCTGCAGGAGATTCCTCCAGACTTCCTGCCAGCCATCTTCCCCCAGTGCCACTTGAGCTGACTGCCAGACAAGTGCTTTCGTTAGGTTTTTCTCTGTGCTTTTTTTCTTTTTTTAAGCTATTCCCTCCCCCCAGCTTCTCCCCTCCCCTCCCGCCTTGTTCAGTCCATGCCCTTCACTGGGTTCCCCAATCACTGGATGCCAGGCTTGCAGAAGGGGCTGGCCATCCCTCTTTCCCACCCACTGCTCCACCTCCACCTGAACCTGTGGGAGAGAAAAAAAAACAGCACCTAAATAACTTTGGCTTTATGGGAGGGGAAAAAGAAAAAAGAGAAAAATGGAGAGGGAAGGCAAGCCAACCAACCTGCCAGCCTCAGGGAGTTGGGTACACAGCTCCTTGCAGCTGGAAGAGACGTTGGGGTGAGACAAAACCTGCACCCACCAGTAATACCAGCTCCCCGGGCTGCATGGGGGCTCAGGGGTGTGTGCTCCTCACAGAGCTGTGTGCAGAGCCCGGGGTGTAACGTGGGGTCATAATTTGCTGAGCACCCACAAGCTCAGGGCTCCGGGGCTTGGTCTCCAATAATGTGGAGTGGACATGGTGTCTTGGCAGGACAAAGCTTGTACTTGGAGTCATTCCTCTAGCTTGTCTGGGGAGCTGGAGCAAGGTGATATGTGAGCAGCAAGTGATGGCTGTGGTAATTGTCAAAGAGGTAATTAAAGCCACAACACAGCCTAGGTTCTGGTTAAGCTCACAGTGGCAGTGGTGTTTGGTGAAAGGCCAGTGAAAGAGCATTGCCATCCTGGCTGTGCCTAACAGCACTGAAAGTACTGGAGTCTTCAATAAGGTAATCACACCATCTGGGGTTGAGAAGAGAGAAAAAGTGGCTGTTTCCAGAAGTGGTTTTTCCTCCTGAAAAGCCTCAGTTCAGCAGACTGATGGAGGAGGTGGGGTGGTCCGCATTTCTGAGCATTGCACACTCCTAGGATTTTCCAGGAATAAAGCCATACGAACAACAGCCATCAAACACAACAGTGTTGTGTGGTTGTGTGGAAAGGGCTGAAAATGGGGGGGATTCTGGCTTCTTGGGGATTTTGATGGTGGGGAAGGGTGGTTGGGATATGGGGTCAAGAAGAACGTGGGAGACAATGTAATGGCCCCAGTGCTTCACCTTTTGTTTGTCTGTTTCTTTTTCTGTGAAGCTTTTTTATTGTTGTTTTCCTTTAAAGCATACAAAATAGTTTTGGTTTATTCAAGGCTTTCTGTTCAAAGGTCCTGAAGTGCTCTACCTCCAGTACAGCTCCTTCTATCTGCATTCCATCAGAGGGTTGTTGAAAGCAGATTCCCATTTACAGTAAGTTAAAAATTAACCCTGCATCAGGACTACAGGGCTCGGTGTGTGCCCGCCCGCCCCTCGGGCCACTGCAGTGCTGTTTGCATGTCGAGCTGCACCCCTACAGCTCCCAGCAGGCCCTGCATGGGAAAAAGATGACGGGGCTCCCCTGAGCGGGTGGCCTTTCCATCATTCGTGTTCTCTAGACCCTTCACCAGCTTCACGCACACTGCTGTGCTCACTTTAACGTGTGGACTGCAAACCCCAGTGTAAACCATTTGGCTTTGTGAGATGATGAAGGGTTCCAAGGAACAAATGGCAAGGGCAGGGAACTAGGGGCTGACTAAACCTTTCTTGTCCATCAGAGCTATTCCTGCAGGCCAGTGAAAAGTGGGAAGAAGTGGAGGTGATCTTGATCACAGTGGTAAAAGGACAAAACAAGCCAGAGGGCTGAGGGCATTGCACAGCTCGTTCCGCTTCCCTGCTTGATTCTTCACGGCTTTGGGAGTGCAGTTTTCTTCTGAGTTCATGTTGGTGTCTTTCTCTGCAGTCCTGAGCGTGGGCTCAGAGGCATATCACCCCCAGACTGTCACCTGCTGTCTGCTGCTGGCCTTGGCAGTGGGGCACAGCCCCTGGCCCTGTCTGCAGTGGACCTTGGGGACCATGGGAAGCTGCTGGCTTTGCATCCAGAGCCCCCATCGAAATCCTCTCAATCTGAGACTGTCACTTTGTGCTACGCTGGAGCCTGCAACCCTGTCCTGCATCCTGCTGCTGAGGTGAGTGTGCACTGCTTGGGTAGGACGGTGGAAATGACTGTATCAACACGAGCTCGCTGATAGCTGGTTCTTGATGCATTTAACAGCTTGAAGCTAATTAAGTATGAGCTACTTAGAGCTGCCAGGCGGCTGTGTTCCAAGGCTATCAGTGAAACCAGTTTCATATCCAAGTGCCAGAAAGGAGAGCATTGCTACAGGGTGAGGTGCCACCTATGCACAGATGCTTAATCACTGTCATTCTACTCCTTTTCCCAGGAAACACAGCAGGTGGGTAGCTTTTTGCTGTTAAATCAGGGGCAAGGACTCTGCAGGTGTGGGGCTGCACTGACTTCAAACAAGCCACAAACATTGTGGCCTCTTGTGGCATGTGGTGCTAAGAACAGCTTTTATTACGGGAAGAAGCATCACCATGTACATCTCTGTGCAGGAATATCGCTCTGTACGCAGCAGGGGTTCAGGCTAACCTGACTTTTAATTACAGAACATGACAGATCAGCCCTAATGAAATAGTTGATCCTGAGCTATGCTGCTCATCTTCACTTGTCTGCATCATTCAGGGTTTGTATTGTGGCTGTGTGTCTATTACACGTGCTCACACACTTGCACAGTGACACCTGCCTAGCTCCCAGATTCTATTCAGTATATCCCCGCAATTTAACACAAGTGGCCACCTATGGCTATTTGACAGAGGAGGGGATGAAAGCATGGAGCTCGAGGTTAAACTTCAGAACTGGTTAAAGGATTTCAGTACTCATAAAGAAAAAGACTCTTAGGTCAGCTTTGAAACTCTCCAGTGGATTTGACCCAGGGTTTACAAGGATGGTAACAAAGCTGGAAACCGAGCTGCAGTGACCTGACTGGTGCTCCTGTCTTCCTCATTAACAAAAGTTAGAAAAAAGTTGTTCTTCTTAAGTGTTTGCAGACCCAGTTCAGCAAGGCTGCCATGCACAGGTTCAAAATAATGTAATTTGGAAATGCTGTGGGGTACCAAAAAGCTGTTTCTGCACTCAGGGTTGAGTGGAGAATCACGTTTGAGGGCACATTGTCATTTCCATATAATGTGAACAAAGACTTCGTTCCTTTAATGCAAATAACTCTGCCTCGATTTGGTAAAGCTACAGGTAGACCTGGCAGTGAGCAAACCTATGAAGCCAGGAACACACAAATGTTAGAAAAGTTCCAGTGACTGCTCTGACACCAGACCAGCGGGGGCATGTAACCCCTGCTTTGCCACAGGCAAACTCTTGTGTTCACTGTTGTAGGGCTGTAAGGAAAGAGGTGATGAAATACCAAGCTGGCAGGGCTAATGTATTGTGCTTTGCAGCAAGAGATAACACTTTCTAGCCTTGTGACTCGGATTTTCTCTATAGCTAAATGTACTTCTGTCAGTCCAGCACGTTCTTGCTCTTGTTCTTGCCACTATGTCAATTTCCTTTAATTCTGCCACTAGGCAGCATCTCTCACTCCACCTCAGTGTGCTAGGCATAAATGCTTAAGCTCCAGCCTTTTTTTCATTATCCACATGAAGAAAAAAGAAGTGGGAGTGAATGATCTTTAGGTGCTGTGAATAGGAAAGGGGAGGCAGGAAAGATAGCAGTGTGAATACAGTTACTCTTGGTGGCTGAGGGTCCGTCTGCTCGAGTTTTTACAGTCACTGCATTTATTGATCATTTTTCTTGTAGTTGAGTTGGATATATATTTGAGTTAAAGCAGATGTGGGGGCATGGTAGGGCCCTGTGCAAAAGACAATTAGAATAACAAGTGTAATTTACTAAAGATCGGGAAAAGGATGGTTTGGAACCACAGCTATGCAGTAGTTGTGCTGTGAGGCAGACTGTGCTGGCTTTCGTGAAAGAGGAAGGACTGAACCTTCTTTACAGTGTGAGAGCAGGGAGGTCAGTGAAAGTAGAGGAAGAGGGGGCCAAAGTGTAAGGAAGATCTGGAGAGGGAACCTGGAATGAGGTAGCCACTTTTTCCCATGATGCTACACGGCACATGAAGGCAATGACTGATATGGAAGCCAGGGCACCTCCTGCAGGCCAGTGTCATGCTTACCCAGTGATGGCTGGATGCTGCCAAACATGCTGAGCTCTCTGCATGGTGCTGAGGAGCCTGGCTCCATTGTGTCATAGCTCTTCCTTGGCTGTTGAGTTTGCTGGGAAGATGCTATTCCCACCTCTGCTGCCACTTTCTTCCTCTTTGTGGCTGTACTAGTTATAAGCATCCTGCTCCTGTGAAGCAGCTGTCACCTCATCACTCCCCAGTTCAAGTCCATGGTTGGTGACAGCCAGAGCTCATGAATGCCTCTCTGGCTGTGCTGGCAGGCTGGGGAGAGGGGCTCAAGTCCATGTTTCACTTTCTTCCATGAGAGGAGGCTACACTTCAGTGGAGTACTCCATCATGCTGGGGAAGAAAGGAAAGGGGCATAAGGGCTAGGACTACCTGAATTGGGAAGAAATGGGGCTGTGGGAACAATATTCAGAGTGGGAATAGGACCTTTTGTCAAATATAATTCACTGCCTTGAGAGACCTAAAAGCCAGGCACCTGGGCTAGTTAGTGATGCTACTGGCCTGGAGGAAGGTGGGCCTCATCTACATGTAATGCACTCCATCTTAAAATGAACATGTAATGCTACAAGCCCCAGGTAGCAGTGGCTGGACTCAAAATGGGAGTAGAAGCTACATCTCAAAGGGAGATGGAGGATCTGCTCAGAGCCCAGTGTCACCAAAGAGGCATGTCCTGGGCTGGTGGTGGGTATTGGCCCCATTGTGGGGCTCTGGTGTGGACTCCTGCACTCAGTCCAGCATGGTCCTTAGCACCTTCTGAGGCATTACCCACCTCAGTTCTTTCCGAAGGTTGTTGTGCTTTTCATCCAGAAGATGATTCTTAACTGACAGGGGCACATCAGGGACATACCAGGCTGCAATCAGTTTGACGCACAGAGCCACATGCTGCAGGACAGAAACAGAGTCGCAGTGGCAGTGAGGAGTTCACAGGGCCACTTTAACATGCCACCATCACCCCAGTGGCCTCAGCCTCCTGCCTGGCTAGCTGCCCTAGTACTCACCTCAAAGAGGATGAGGAAGGCAAGCCGGGCTGCAAAGACATGCCAGAACTGGACAGTGTAGCTGTAGTCCTCATCATTCCTGTAATCCCGGTACCTGCAGCAGAGACCTCTCAGTGCCAGTCCCTCTCTTTACCAGACCCATTGGGGTCTCAGAAGAGCTCTGGTGTCTTTACACATAGGGCTGGAAGCCATGGTGAGGGGCTGGCAGGGATGCTACCAAGCACAGATTGCTGTTACCTGCACACTGTAGTCCCATTCTTGACCAAATCTAAGATCTCTACAGCCAGATTTGTGTCTGGCTCAAAGTGCTTGATATGGAAGACAGAGAGGCTGTGGTTGATGTAGCCAGTCAAGCAGCTGCAAGGGGAAAAGAGCACATCAATTCACATCAGCCTGGTGGTGAGGTGAAGCTCCTGCTTTGTGGTCACACTGAGGGAGTTTGTGGGAGGGTTGGAACAGCTGACCAGCCACACTCACTCAACAGCAGTGTTGTTTTCTTTCATGCAGGGGCTGTATGTGTACTTGTAGACCTGCACAGGGATGAAGTCAGATGTGATGGCAATCACCAATCCATTCCCGATGACAGCCAGGATGCCAATGGCTTCCAGGACCTGCAGCCAAATTCCTGCAGGAGAGGAGAAGGTTGGTGATGCTCCCTTGACAGCTTGCTCAAGGGTTACAAATGCAGGTGCAGCTCAGGAACAGGGTGGCACAAACAGAAGTCTGGGTCAAGGAAGGAGAGTTCCAAAGAGCCCCTCATTGTCTGAAAAGTCTGAAATTGCTTCTCCCTCCCCAATCCACAGCTCTCCCTGTGCTTTGCTATCTCCACAGTCAAGAGCACATCCCAGCAAAGGAATGCTCAAGACTCTTTAAGACTGGAAGGGACTTAACACCAGCACTGTTTGCACAAGCAGCAGTTCTCATGGGCCCCACCTCACCAATGTCATTGGTCTTCCTGGGCACCATGCGCCGGCGCAGCCGTGTCATCTTGATGGCATCCAGGCGAATCTCAAAGAGGTTGTTGAAGAACGCCAGCAATGGGGCCAGAGGAAAGGCAGCAACAAAAATAGTGGTGAAGCTGTACTGGATCACTGCAGAGGGGGGAAATGCTAGGTGCTGGTGTGGAGCCACCATGGAGTGGATATCTTCCAGGTATTCAGGTGCTGTCTGAGTTTGTCCTGCTTTGTGGCTTTTGTCAGAGGGAAGTTTCAGGATTGAAAGGGGAGAAAAACTTGTCTTGGGTACCTCATACCCCCACAGGAGACACCCACCTCTTCCAGGCCTATCAGAGAGGGGGATCCTTGAGGCATAGTGGTTGAGCTAACCAAGTAGGACTACCCTGGGGTTACAGCCACCTCCTTGACACCCTTAGGAGGGGAGAGGAAGGTCCCAGGCAAGGTTCCAAAGCCAAAATGGTTGCCTGCTCTCTCTTGCTTTGGGAATGGTCTCCTTAGTGGGACTGGGCATGGAGCTGAGTCTCAGCACTCTCCCTTGCATCATGCTATCCCCATACAAGGAGGACAGATGGCACTGCACACAGCATCCTGCCTTGCTCATCCTCTCCTCCCCTACATACCCATCTCCAAGAATTCATCAAACAAGCTGAAGATGTTGACCTCGTTGAGTTGATAATTGATGAGCCACTGCTTTTTGCAGGGGTCCTCAACCTCCTCCTCCTCCCCCAACACCAGGTGTTTCTTCTTGGGGCGCTTCTGCCTCTTGCGTATTTTGTGGGCTAGCCAGCTGCAATGGGAGAGAGAAATTTGTACTGCTGTCTGCAGAGTGATGGCAGGAGTGGCAGGGGCAGCATTGGACACCTGAGATGGGGAAAGGGAGGAGATCTTGGCCTGAAGACCAAGGTTACTCTCAGTAAGAAGTGGGAAGCTGTCCTGCATATCCAAGAACACCAGCAAGCACTTCAAAGGCTAGAATAAGGCTTACGGGACAAGGTACTCCACCACATTGCTGATGGTTTGCTTAAGCATCATGATGATGGCCATCTGGATGAAGAGGTCAGTGATGCAGCCGCTAGGGTGACACTGCAAAGGGATGAGAGGAGAAGGTTCTGAGGAACTGTTTGTCCAAGCAGAGATTTGGTTGTACCTTGCTGGGCAATGGGGAAAGGCAAGGTAGGAGTTGTGGTATGGGGTCAGAGGATTTTATGGCAAGTCTCTCACCTCCTCCAGCCTCCACTTGCCAGCAATGCGCACGTAGTTCCCTGGGTGGCCATTGATCCTGAGTAGGGAAGCAAGAAGAGTGGTATCTGTTGAGCCTCACCTGTAACTCCTTTCTGGATAAGCAGCCAGCTGTGGGATGGCGGACACCATTCTCCAGGCATTAGCCTAGGCAAAGGTGTTCTCCCATCCACTTCCCCATTCCTTGGGGAAAAGCCATGGTCCTGCTGAGATCCCAGATGGTTTACCCCCTTCTCACTTCTGCCAGGTGCTCTGAGGGGGAAAGTAGATGAGCTGGGGTCCCCCTGGATCCCTACCACCACTCACCTCCCCAGAAAGAAAGCAATGTAGATGAGCGAAGAAAAGTTCGTCAAAAACTGGAAGATGAAGATCTTTATGGTAAAGTTGTTCTCATGCTGGGAGAAGGTCCGTGGTTTCTCTGGAGACAGGAGCAGGGTGTTGATCATAAAGAGGTGGAACCTTATCCCACTCCCCATGGATCCCATGGCAAGAACTGCCTGGCAGATGCTTTGTGGTTGTGGAGGAAGGAAAGAAGCCACAAGACTAGCTGCATTTGGGGACCAATGAGGAGGTGTCCTACAGTTCTTTTCTTTGGTGGAGGTACCACTGGGCAGCTTGGTGCTGTGGGGTGTAAGTGGGGGCATCCTCCAGTTTCCCTTACCTAGGTCACAGAGAAAGAGGGCCACGCGTCTGTTGATCTGCAGGAAAGAGGTGTAAAACAATAAGGGAGAATTGATGATGGAAAAGGACAAGACCCGTTGCCCACCCCATGCTGCAGTCTGCACCTTGGTCATGATGACAATGGTGATGTAGTGCAGCACAGCCCCTGTTATCACTGCCACCAGGTTAGCCTGCTCACGGAAGAACTCGGAATCACTCTGGGTAAAGAGAGCCGTGGCGACCACCCGATAAATGACAAGTGCATGGGCAATGCCAATCAGTACAACAATCTGTGGAGGAGGACAGTGGAGAGGTGAGAAGCAAGGAGGGAAGGACGTGCTCCATCTTGGATGAGTGCTTCAGAAACTGTCTCTCTTCACCAGAACTCATCTGGATGTGGCCTCAGGTGCAAGCCAGTGTTCTTCAGGAATGGATTAGATGTTCGTAATGCAGACATATCCACCTATACTTGTCCACTTGTTGTCACATAAGGAGAACGGACAATGTCAAGGGTTTGCCTCTTCCTACCCTAAGTTCCCCCTGGCACTTACCATGAGCAGAACCAAGAGGAGCACAATGGTGCTGCGCAAGTAAGAGTGCCGATACCGCCGAGGTTCATGCTGCAAATTGTTGATCAGCTCCATAGCTAGCTCCTCCTGAAGAAGAATAAAAAAGTATCTCTCTCTTTCTCTCTCTCTATATATATACACATGCAGGAAAGGAAGGTTTCAATAGAGCCTTCCCCGGGTACTGGAAAGCCCAAGGGTGGCTGTGTAAATGGCAGTATGGAATGATCAGAGCCGGAGGAACAGGGCTGAATATCTGACAGCATGACCAGTCTTGACTGAGTTTAGAGCCTCATACAGGTGACTAGCAATGCAGAAAGGTGTCTAGAATTTGATCAAATCTCTGGAGGGTTCTGTCTCCCCTGGGGCAAAGGCTCCAGATATTGGCTTTGCCTCTTGTTTAAGAGCTTCCATTAGATGTCCATATCCATAGACAGGTCCCTCTACTAAGTCATTTCTGTAAGCCCAGCTATAAATTGCCCTGAAGAGGAAAACGCTAAGCGGGAAAGATGGCATTCTCACCTCATCCTCGTCCCACCCATACAGATCCCAGTTGGTGACCACTTGGGCTCTCTGCCTCTTCCACAACTCCAGGAATACAGTGGCTGCAGAGGGAAAGGAGATGGCTCTAGATTATAAGAATTCATCACTCCCTCCCTTAGAGCAGGCTGGACTATCATGAAATCTGAATGGCAAATCAGCCCCGGCTGCTCTTTGCCTATGAAAGACAAGCAGCCACCTGTGTCTCTGCAACCAGGATTCACCTGCACCCCAGCATGCTACACCTTTGCAAATCCGTTTACAGCCGCCTCTTCTTTTAATCTGGATTGGGCTTCCTAAGCTTGTTCCTGTGTGTATCAACCCATAATGATAGGCAAATTTATGTCTGCAGCTGGCTCAGATTTGAGACCTCATTGGTGAGACATCCAGCTCAGGAGAGGCAGAGGAGAGGCTGTTGGATGCTCTGGGGAAGGTTGTAGTGGCTGAAGGATACAAGCTCTCTAGAAAGGAGTGTTTAAAAAGCAGAAGAAAATTGCTGGGGTGATTTTTATCCCTTGTGTTGTCTGGAGGGGGAGCTGCTGGCCCTGAAAGTAGAGAAGCTAAGGACTAAAAAGCCCCTGAATGATGAAGCTGTGTTGGTCCCATTTCCTTCCAGATGCTCTTCACATAAGCCATAGTGGCAGGCTCTGTGTATTTGGCAATGAGACATTGACACTTACCCCAAATTGCCATGAACATGGCAAACACAACTGTCCCTTCGTTGTCAATCATGTGAGTGACCTGGAGAAGATCAGAGAAGAACGTGATGGGGACAGCGGACTGTAGAGGCTGCAGCATTTGGTCATCCTCGTGTCACCCTGATCTCCCCAGAAACAAGTAAAGATGGTGCAGGGGGCAAAACACAAGAAGGGGAATGAAAATTGAACTTGTCAGATGGTGGTAAATGCCTTCTCCTTGGTGGTGATGGAGACCGTGATGAGACTATACCTCTTCCTTTTTAAGGAGGCTAGTGGAGGTTTCTAGCATGTTGTAGCCAATGTGCAAGGTGGCTTTTCTTCTGGTGATGTGGGCACAACACAAGCTGGGAGTGTTTCCCCATCCTTCATCTTGATCCTGTCTTGGGAAGAGGGATACCTACCCTGGCATACATGCAGGTGTCAGCGAGCAGCCAGAATGGGCACTTCTGGTCGCAGAGTGGGCACATGAGGGTGTCATTGGCTTCACATATCTCCTTGCTAGAGAGAAAGGAGTTCAGGGAAGCAACAGCAAGTAGCATGCATAGCAAAGTCTCATGAACAGGGTGTGGCATTCTGCACTTCCTTACCTCACCTGGCTGGAATTGAAAACAGTAATCCCAGCCACAAAGACCACCAGTCCAACGCCTGCAGCAAATCCCAGCAAGTAGGTGTACCAGCCAAGCCAGGTGAAATAGAGGGCCACCTTTTCACCAAAATAGCATCTGGAAGAAAAGGTGAGACTTGCTTTGGAGATCTTTCACCCCCAAAAGAGATACCAGCTCCAGTCTGCATGTCTGGTGGTTGCATTGTCTGATGGATCAGGAGAGTCAGTCCAAACAAAGTGGAAGAACCATACAGTGACAGGTGTTTCCCTCGGATTTCAGCAGCAGCACATGGAGGGTGATCCTGGGTGTCCTTGCATGAGTGAGGATGCAGTAAAGAACACTAAGGACAATGCTGTAGGGCTGCGCAGCAAAGAGCTGCTCAGAGCACTGCTTGAGCTGAGAGGTGAGAGAGGATGGATAGCAATGCAAGATTCTAATGGGGGCAGAGATGACTTGAGGGTCAAGGGTAAATGTGATCAGATTCATCATATGCCAGGTAAAAGCGGTGGGAGTGGTTGAGAGACTAAGTTGCAATCACTGTCTACAAATCAAAAAGGCCTCAAAAAGATAAGAGAGCTGCAAGGTGCAATGGTTCTGAAATTAGATCAATTTCCCCTCCTGGGTTCATCTATTTCCATTTAGTACTTTCATTTCATTCTTCTGACAGCATTATTTCAGTTCTTCAAGTGTGGGGAAGGGTTGGAGGTGTGGGTAAGAAGTGACAGTGATGGAGTGATGGACCCGCTGCCCCTCCTATATTCCAAGAAATTAACTTCCTATCTGCAGTCAGAAGCGGTGCTGTGCTCCCCAGCCTATGTAAGAAAATAATTTTTACTTGGCCCCTTAATCTTTCTGTGATAGCAACAGGTCATGTCAACCTTAGAAACATGTTCTGTCTCACACTGAGTACCGTGGAGGCATCAAGTCTCCCTAGGGCTCCTGCTAGACTTTTCAACTGTAAGAAACCTTTAAGGGCAGAAAATGCATCTCAGCATTTTATCTCCCCAATAGAGCCCACTGAAAACCTCCTGAAGCAGCGTATTATTTCTGCCTTTCTTCTCCTGGCCACAGAAAGTTAGTTTTTGTCCCTCTTTAAAAGAGCTGTGTTCTTCTGAGCTTTAATGTGCTTATCTAGGTCCCTTGTTGCCTTTCATGTCCCAAGCTCAGCCTCAGGCTGAACATGTTCACTGGTGCTCTGTTCTCATCTAGCCTTCCTTTTGAACGTGGGAGCTGGTGGTTGAAAATGAAAGAGGCTAATTAAAAACCGTGCAGATGCGGGGGTTGTTTCATTCTGCAAAATTAGCAGATGGATTGTGGTGCCATGAGATACCCTTTAGGCTAAGAATTTTGCAAGCTGCAGAAGAGGCCCAATATATGTGAAAAGGGTGAGGTACAAACTAATGATTTAAAATAAAAAATGAAAAAAAATGACAACACAGGATCTTGGGAAGGGTTCCAGGTGGAGTTGCTTGGCTAGATCTGCTGTGACTCTTTTGCCAGTTACCTGATCTTCTCAATTGGCTGTTGGCAAAATATATCTCTCCAGCGGGCCCATTTCTCCTTCAGAAATTCCCTTACCTCTTCTTTCTGGAGAACAGAGAAGTCAGTAAGACACCAGGAATATTAGAGCAGCTTTAAACCCCAGCCCTGCTGCCAAGCTGCCATTAGGAGCCCTTCATCCAGGTACATCTCAATACAGCCCCAGTCACCCAGAGCTCTCTCCCACTTGGTCTGGCTCCTCTGCTTCTCATGGCTTTTCTTACCAGTCATCCATGTGCTTGGCCTCACCTCGTGCAGTGGAAATGCTGCCTCAAAGACATTCTTCTTCATGAGGTCACGCAGCTTCTCTGGTAGCAGGAAGAATGGGGAAGATTAGTGAGACAAAGTATTTCTCTCTCTCTCATATGCTTTCTGACAGGCAAAATCACCCTGAAGCTTTTGGGGAGGCAGAAAGAAATGCCTGGGAGAGACGGAGCTATTCAGAAGGGATCAGCACTAATCCCTGTCATTGTGCTGCTCAGCCAGGCTGCTGCAAGCTGCACTGAGGCTGGGAGTGAGCCAGGTAGGCAGGTCCCTAGAGACAGCAGTAGAGCCAGCACCCTTTCTACCTCCCTGCTGATCCCAGAATGCTGGAGAAGGACAAGCATTTTTGGAGACACAGAAGAGTGGTGGTGGGCTCGGTGAGAGGGGCGCTGATTCCTGCAGTCCAAATTTCCCAACCGTGGAATGAAAAAGCAAATTCACCTTTCCAGAGCTGCATCCTGGCTCTTTCCTCTTCGTCACATCCCCACTCTCAGGTGTGGGATGCCTAACACAGAGCCGGAGCACTGCTACCAGTACAGACTGCATTACCTTGGAGATAAAGGGGATGGATGTATGGGCCTGCTGGCCCCATTCCCTTACCGAGGTCGGGTGTCACTGTGTTATGCAAGATGAAGTTCACGATCCGTATCCTGAGCAAGGAGAAACTGGGGTTAAAGGCAGCTCTGGGGATACAGCCTAGTGTTGTGGCCCTGTAGAGTGGGCACCAAAATCCAGAGAAGGAAATGGGGAAGAAATGGGGAACTGGCCACCTTGCTCCAATAGTGGCAGTTGGTTTCTGTGGAGAAGGAAAAGCCTGGCACCAGTGCGAATTGAGATAGAAAATGGGTACTGGTGTGGAGGTAAGGGACTGCAAGGTCTAGATTCCAGCAGTCCAGCTCAACACTCACCTGGTGGTCACTGGTACGTCCTGCTGGGCATTGAGGTCTTGAATCCTGCTGTCGGGGTTCCTCAAGAGCCATTGGTATTTCCGGAAGAAGTGTTTTGGGGCACGGACCCCATAAAATAGCTTCCTGTCCTCAATTTTCTAGTAGGTAGAAGAGAAAGGCTAGTAGAACAATCTGGTCAGAGAAAGAGGCAGAGCTGCAAAAGCCAGGAGCTGCCTGAGTCTTGGAGCTGGGGTTTCCCCTCGTTGAGTGTACCATGTGTTTTCCAGTACTGATGCAGTGATAGGTGTGGGAGTTCTCTCAGCAGCCCAAACTAGCTACGATCCTAGGTTACCAAGTAACTGCTGCCTCTTACCTTGATGGTGAACCCCTTCTTGCTTAGCTCATCCAGGAACTTCTTCCTCTTGATCTCTTTCTCACTGCCCATTTCATGGATGTCACTCACAAGGACAAAATCCCATTTCTCTTCATCCTGCCCCTAGAAAATACCAGGGAATTAATGGTGTTGACAAGCAGAGAGCTCTCTCTTAGCTTCAGCTTCTCAAAGGCTTGAACCTTCATCATGCCTGTGTAGAGGGTTTCTGGGGACTGTGAATGAGCATGAGGATGGGGAAACTGAAGCAGCCACTGCCCTAACACCTCCCCGCCCAACCAGAATCCAAATTTCTGAGCTGTGAATTCCCTCTGAGTACAGACAGAGCAAAGCTTACTGTGAAGGCAAATGTGTCTGAGTCTTCAAAAGGAAAACAGGGAGTCAACAGAATTTCCTCCTGTGGAAGAGAAGAAGCAGCAAAGAGTTCAGTGAGCTCCTTGGGAGATTCTATATCAAGACACAGAGCAAACCTCTCTCTATGAACATCTGGATGATATTGTGATACTTGCAGTACATCAAAAGAGACAGAGCCCATGTAAGTAAAACTGCATTATAACCGAAGATCAAGGTCTACCTGGCCCAGTTTTCCTCTCCCAGGTGCCACGAGGGGATGCCAGGGGAGGAGAGTAAGAGCAGGCATGTTGGAAACCTTTCCAAATACACTCCTGGTCTCCACTTCCAGCATAATTATGCATCCAAGTGGAGCAGTTCTGAGGTTGGAGGAAACAAGCAAGATGATGCTGTGGCAACAGCTGCTCTCTGCTAAGGGTGATTTCCCTGTTCAGGGTGCTCCTCCATAGAAGAATGCTGTAGGAGTACCCTTGGATAGCCTGGTCCTGGTGGTGGGTGCCCAAAACTGGGGCACATCAACTTTGAAATCACTTTGTCCCCATCCTCTCTTCCAGGCTTCCCTGATGTGATCTCACCCTGCTCCTACAGCCACAGTTGCTGCTTAGGCAACAGGGGATTAGTCCAACCAGTCTTTGGTGGATTGGCAAAAGTGTGCTGGGCTTCATATGCCAGTGACTGCAATGAGTTTAATAAAGATGTGCTCTGATTTTATTTTTTTTTATTGTTTTGCAGTTCTTTGGTGTGACTCACAGTGCGGCCCCACAAACAGTTATACTGCTGTTCCCGGAGGCATGGCGTTGCAGTACAGAAGGAGCTGCCAGGGGATGGGGATATCATCAGCCTGCATTGTCACCAAAGGCTTTGTGACTTTGTATCCTGTAATAACAGTGGCCAGACAAGTTCATCCAGCTGTAATCTCAGGAGTGGAGAGGTGGTGGTGCAACCAAATTGTGATGTAAAGCCTGGATCTCAAGCTTTCACTGAGGATTGAGGCCATGGGAGCAGGTGAGACTGGGAGGAGGAAAGGGCTGAAATACTCTGTGAAATCCTTTCTCTGGAACTGGGGCCCTGTCTTCACTTGAAGCAGAAAAGCAGGGGGGAGACTGAGACAAAGTAAGAAGACTTCAGAAGATAAGCATGTTTTTGAGTGGGAGAAGTGGGTTTGGGCACAGGTCAGTCTTCCCAGTTGGGTGAGCACGTAGATCTCAGAGTTGTAAAATCACAGAATCATTATGGTTAGAAAAGGCCTCTGAAGTTACTGAGTCCAACTGCTGAACCACCTGTACCGTATCCACTAATCATGTGCCTAAGTACCACATCTCCATGTTTCTTGAACACCTCTGCGGATGGTGATTCCCTCACCTCACTGGGCAGCCCGTGCCAATGCACTACTCCTCTCTCTGAGTAGAAATTGTTCCTAATATACAATCTGAACCTCCCCTGGCATAACTTAAGATCATTACACACAGCAGCTCTGTCTGTCCCTATCCCCAGAGGCCCCCTCATGCACAGGAGTTCCAAAAGGCTCTGCCCCAGCTGCTGCTGCTCTTGCTGGCACAGATGTAGCCTGACAGCATCTCTTTGCAGCTTGCCTTGTCTTGTTCCCCTGGTACTAACCCCAATATCTGTTCTTGTACGCAGCATTGGAGCTGGATCTGCAGAGCTTCATTGCAGCATCCTTCCTCTATCAGCTCTAATGCTGTAATGAGGCTGGTCTCTTGGATCTGATGCTGCCAATCCCGCCCCTGCTGCTACATACTCCCAAAATAACAAGGACTGGTTTTAATCCCAAGAGGGACCTATTGTTTTTTCATTTCCCTGACAAATGCTATGAATCAGTGGGGTTGCTTCTTAGGTCACCTGTCTATGGCTCTAGGCAGTGAGGATGTTGTGGGAGCAGGGTCTGTAGCAGCTCGGCAGGCATGTTTCTGTGTTCTCATAGCAATGAGATTTACCACCTGGTCCGTCCTCTGCAAGCACCTTTAGTGCCTCTGCATAGGACTGAAAAATGGGAAGAGCAGAAGAATTTGAAAATTATTTGCAGGTCATGCAGGCAATTCCCAGTGCCCACCTTCAGAGTGGGAACAGATGGAAATCACAGTTACCTGCGGAGGGTGGTTTGCAAACCTGTGATGATAGAAACATCATAGACAGATAGAGGCATTTCAGCAGATTTAATTGACGCTGACTGCTGACATCCCTGTGCATGGGGCTGAGCATGAGACAAAAGCTGCTTTAAGCCTTGGCTGCTCTGCAGGAGCCCAGCCCCCATATGGGGCTAGATGGGGCTTGTGCGAAGGGACAGCTGTAGAAGGCAGGGACATGGGACCACTGGGACTCTCACCCCTATGTTGTTTTTTTTTTACCCAAGGGACTGGTAACACTACCTGATGATGGCTGTTTTGCTCCAGCAGCACAAGGCAGCCCCATGTACAGTCAAGTCTCTGAAGTGGTTGTATAAACCATGGACTCTAATCCTTGCTATCAAAGAGGACGATGCCCATTTAGCCTTTTTCCTGATCAGTGTTTGGAGCAGGGTTGGAGGTGTACTGTGTCAACGTGTGAGAAGCATGCTGCACAATGAGCGGTGTTTTAATATCAAGGGGGTTTGTGTGCCCAAAGTTTCTCTCCAGCTATATCAGTTGGTCCTAGTCCCCTTGTATCCTGATGCTCTGTGCAAGAACTTTACTCGATCCTTTAGGGGTGCCCTTCAGTGGGGAGTGTGGTCACAGTGCCAGTGACTGAAGTAAAGGATCTGAGTGGGATCCAGCCCCCCTGTTTTCCTTCCCCACCCCAGACTGGTAGAGGTTGGGTAGTTTCTATCCCGTACGCAGCAATGACCAAACTGCTATCTTATCTTGGGAATGGTTCTTACCAGTGCTTCCTGTGCCCTCCTCACTTGCCCTAGAGCGCTTCCACCTTGCCTCATGTTTTCCTAAGAAATGTGAACAATCTTTAATTGAACAGGCAGATAAACAGCCTGTGCTGTTACTAGCTGTCCCAGTCATAAAGTTTGCCTGGATTTCTGAATAATAATCTGTGCCTTTTCTTTCAAGTTATAGGAGCAGGGGGATTGGAACAAGATGATCTTTGATGTCCCTTCCAACTCAAGCCATTCGATGATTCTGTGATTCTATGACAGTTTTCCTGAAACCAAACCACCCTTCTTTGATCTGCCCACTGGCAGCTCTGAACTGTGGTACAGACATGCAAAGCCCCACTGCCCTGACCCCACCGCGCTTGTTCCAAGGCTGCAGGTGCTATTGGATACTGCAGACTGAGCACAATGCATTGCTTTCCCCATCATACCTTCATGGTGAAAATGAAAGCATTCGCTGAGAGAAACTGAAGCTCTGTGGTACGTTTTGAGTACCCTAGGGCTGAAAGCATTTGAGTGGTAGAGCTCAGAGCTTATAATACGCCAAATTTCCAAAATACAGGTGGCTCCAATGTGCTGAAAACAACCTGTTGGCAACTGCTGACCAGTTTTTGTTTCTTACCTGCATGGTGAATTGGAACCTTTCTCTTCCTCCTGCTCTTCTTTTTCTCTGATCAGTCTGTTGGGCTGAGGACAAGCTGAGAGGCTCCCAAAGTTTCAGGGCTTTGTTGCAGTGTTGTTACTCTGCCTGAAGTTGCATGTGAATGGAGCGTTGGCTTTGACTTCCGTGTGGGCCTCCCTCCTGCCTTGGGAGGGAGCTGCCTCTGCCTAGCAATGGGCAGATAGCGAGGAGGAGGAGGTGAGGAAGTTGCCCTTCACCCTTGTTCAAAGGAGTGGCAAGCCCAGTACCGCCCAGCAGCGTAGGCAGGGAATCCTGTGGTGTCGGCCTTCACAGCTCCTCTTGCCAACACGGGGAGAACAATGAGACTACTCCATCCCCATCCTCTGTGCCCATGCCTCTTACTGTGTCCTGTGAACGTTCCTAAATGGGGCTGAAAGGAGGAGGGAGGGATCAAAACAAGTTCTAGAAAGCATTAAACTATTTCTTACAAAAGGTGAGGGGAGGGAAGGGGCAGCCTTCCCTCCCTAACATGATCTTCACTCTTGGAGTTAAACCTTGGTGAACCTTGAGGTCCACGGAAAAGATGGGGTGGGAACAGCCCCGGCTTTGAGAAGAGTCAAGGAGGAAATTTTGTGCAGCCAAGACAGGGAAAAGAGGGAAAGCACTAGTTTTCAGGTAGGCAAGAAGCATCTCCTCTGTGGTTTCTCCACTTGGATACAGCCCTCTTCCTCCCTACCTTGGCCGGGAAAAATTTGCACAGGTAAAAATTGGCTTCCTGGAAGAGCCAGTACATCTTTTTTGTCACATCTCACTGGGAGCTGGCATTTCTTTCTTCTGTATGTAATAGCATTGTTGCATGAAGGCATTAGGATCAGGTATTAAGGGTTCCAGGAACTTCTCTACGTATTTTACAGCCCTTAAGAACAAGTATTTCCTCCCTCATGGCTGAGGAGGGGAGCATCAAAGTGTGCCTTGAATGTTCCCCCAAGCCACATAGGACTCTTGCCTCCCTGCTCCTTAACATCACTTATAGTACATGCGATTAACCAGAGCATAAGTGCGTCAGCCTCTGCTTACCTGCATTTGAGTTGAGATGCTCACTGGCAATCATAACCAAATAACTGAGAACTGTTTTTCTATGATCACAAAGGCTCACTTCATCCAGACCTCAGGCATGGAGTAGGCTTTAACTCTCTTCTAGCAAAAAGGGCCAGACGAAAGGTTACGTATAAGTTTTGTCTGATAGCTCTCCCTATATCTGTTTTATGTCTGTTGTTTAATTTCCAGGCCAAGAGCTGTCTTTCCCCAGGAGGGAAATCTGTAGCTAGGGGGTTTTCCTGTGCTATTTGGATGCATCACTGTGAGTAGCTCTTAAATAAAACTAGTCCTGAGGGGGGAGGGAGGGGAGATCTGGTGCATTCTGTCAGGGAATGCAGCAGGCATTTCCACAGCTCTTTTACCAGGCAAGCTAACATTGCTCTGTGGCTTTGCCAAGCGCCTTAAACAGACCTGCAATTATTATCTTTTTACAAAGAGCCACTTTCTGAATTTCCTGCTAAGCTTAAAACCAAGGGCAAAGCGAGGGAAGGAGCAGGGAGACCTTTACCCTCCTGGAAGTGATCTGTAGGGCTGGCCAGGAGGGGAAAACTACCTTGATCACCAGCTGCTCTCCATGGGTGTGGGAGAACACGTGTGTGTTTACATGAGGAGAGAGTAAGCTCTTGTCAGATAGGATTCGTTGTGCTTTCCACATCTCCTGACAATATCAAAGACCTTTGCAACTTGAGCACTGCTGGGTAGAAAGTAAATGGGGTTAGGTGTAGGTGGGACATGTGTCTCTACCTGCGCACCTGTTTCTTTCTCCTGCAAACTTTGCCAAGGAGGAGTGGAAGGACTTTGCTCTGCAGATAGGCCGGCTAATTGAACACAGGCAACTCCTGCTTCCAGCAACATCCCAAAACTCAGAGGCTTTACCAGTGGGGAAGGTGAGCCTGTGCTTGCAGATGGGCTTCTTGTCCAAGGTATCTGACTTTGCATAGCACTTAGAAGAAACAATGAACTTTTTCTTCTTCAGTTCAGGAGTTTGGCTCTGCCTAGGCAGGATCTAGCTTCTTTTGCAGGGTGGCAAGTGACCAAATTGACAGAGCTCTCGTTTCAGAGATTTCCTGTTCGCACAACCATCCTGCAGTGCACTGCTTTGGGTTTCGTTGCTTTTGGGGGAACAGTACTGAGGGCAGCAGCATGGGAAACTAAGATCAAGCAGGGAGAGGTTGAACCTTCCAGTGTGATGATGCTTAAGACATGAGGTGTTGTGGATCTGCCATTCATTTGTTTGTTGAGGGATTGTAACAGCACAAATGCATTGTAAGCAGCTGGAATTATTTAAGATATTATCACCCTCCAAAGTTTGTTGCTGCTGGGGCTGGCCATGTGGTTGCATTCTAATCTGCCACGGTATCACACCAGCCCAGTGTGCTCCAACCACTTTGGGCAGTGGTTTGACATGCACTAAGCACTGCTCTGGTGACTTCCATCTGAGAAGCAGTAACGAGCAGCTGAATTCTTTTATGTATTGAACTACTTCAAGAAGATAGAGGCAGCCTGCCTTGCATGATGCAATCCCCAGAGCCTTGAATTTGAAGGGTACTGCCTTCCTGTGGATCTGGCTGGAAGGATGCAAAAGAAGAAAGATCCTTCAAAAGAGGTGTTCCAGGTGTTTTTCAGAGTCAAATTGTAACTCTTTTTTTGCTGTGTTTCCCTGAAGCTCCTCCATGCCACAGATGGGAAACGGAGGTTCTTTACGCAGCTATGCTGCTCGTACAGCAGAGATGGCAGCAGGCCGCTCGGCTTCCTGTGACAGCCGGACAGAACCTACAAGTGCAAACGTTCGCAGCTCTGTTTGTGCCCGGCTGGCTGCTGCCATCGTGCGGCCGCCTGCTCCACGCGCACCACACAGGCAGTTCCCATCCTTCAGCGCCCCCTGCCGTCTGCCAAAGCGAGAGCGGGAACAGAAGTGGTTAAATGGCGCTCACAGGGCTGGACGGCACGCCCTGGGGTATCCGCGGCTGCAGCGCAGCCTGGCGGGGATCGCTTGTCTCTGAGTGAGATCCACGTGAGAGCGCATAAACTTCAACCATTTCCTCTCCTTAGCGCCCGCCCCGCCTCCTCAGGCGGCGCGGTTACCCCGGCAACGGCAGACGCCCGCCCTCCCTTCCCGCCTTCCCCGGGACGCCCTCCGCGCCTGCGCACTCCCCTCCCTACGTTGGGCCGCGCGCCGCGGCGCCCCGCCCGCCCCTCCGCTCCGCTAGCGCGGGGTCGTTCCGCGGCCGCTGCCACCATGAGGCGCGGCGAGCGCCGCGGCCCATTCGGGCCGCTGGGTAAAGCCGCTCTGGAGGAGCAGCACCAGCAGCCCAACGGCGGTTCCCCGTCGCCCGGCTCCGAGAGAGATGGCCCCGCGCTCGGCCTCCGCCGCAGCACCGAGTCTGAGGTCTACGACGACGGCACCAACACGTTCTTCTGGTGAGTGCCGCCAGCCCCGGGACCGACGCGCCCCGAGGGGCAGCGGAACCGCTTTTCTCCGCCGCGGGGTGGGCGCTGAGGAGCTGTGGCACACCCCGCCTGCCTGCAGCGTGCTGCCGGCGCTCGGCTGCCTGCCTCGGTCCTTTCCATCCCCGTTGTCTTCCTGTAGTCTGTAAGGTGAGCTTCACACAGGAGCGTGGCTCGCTCTTTCCCCAGCTGGCAGCAAAGCCCCTTGCCTGCAACACGAGCCGGGGCCGTGCGCTCTGTCTGCGGCTGGACGCTGATGCGCAGCGGGAGGAGGACGCTTGGCTCTGGCCCTGCCAATCTCAGCGACGGCGGGGCTGAGTGCGGGTGCTGAGCGAGGTATTGCTGCCAGCACGAGCTGCGAGGAGGCACTGAGATCCCGCTGGGTCGCCGGGAGATCTCCTAGGAAGCATTTGGAGCGACTGTCGTACTCTCAAGGGCACAGTTTCCCTGGGCCTCGTGTAGGCTGAGCGAATGACCAAGTGGTGCCTTCTTATAAATGGAAAATGGGTAAAACCAATGCTTTCTTACTCTCTTTTTCATGTGGTTCTTGCCAAGTTTCTTGTGATGCCTTACAAGCAGCATCTGTTTGAATCCAAACTGTTTGGGTAGTATAACCTCCCCTTCTTGCACCTTTCCATGTGGGTAGCACATAGTCTGCCACTCTTGTAGGGCTGGCGACCTGAAATGTTGTCACCGCAGCTTGTTTGTGAGGGCAAACTGTACCTTTGAAAGCACAAATGTGCTACCCTTCTTTAAGGCTTCTCCTTTGCTGCTTCCTTCCAGGAGGACAGTACAGGCAAGCATGTGAGCATGTTATAGAATAGTTCCTTAGTTTCTGTACTTTCAGGTGCTTTATTGCCCAGTAGTGTTTGTTGCTTGTGCTGACATCAAGGATTGTAATTGCTTGTAAAAGTTTGAAGCTTCTTCCTTCTGTTTCTTTTGACCTGCACATGATGGTGTTGCGTGTTTGCAGGTCATTTACCAGAGGATAGGCTCAATTTTTTATTGTGTGCAACATAGATTCGGGGAGGAGGACTTGCTTGCTTCCCATGGCCCTTTCACTGCTCTTGGGCTGTTAGAAGTGGGCAGGTGGGGCAGGGGCCCTCTGTCTTTGTCGATATGAGTTTGCCCACAAGTACCTTTTCTTTTTGAAGTTAAAGGTGAGGTTACTGGAAAAGAGGAGCTGAGGATCTTTTTGTTGGGGAATAGGAAATTTCAATGAAATAATTGGTTTGTCTGCTCTATGTATTAAGTGTTGGCTGCAGCAACTTTTCATGAAGAAGAAAACTTCCTTTCCCACTTCCAGTAGCCAGTGAAAGGAGGTCGAATTATGGAGTTCAGTTGTCTTATGGATCTTGGGTAGGCCTTGGATGCTCCTTGTTAACCCATTTGGGATTATCTGGTTAGATCTTGGGTTCTCCTAAAATTTCTTCTTGATGCAAAAAGCGCAGAAATTGTAGCTAAGGAAAAGGAAGCCTGTAGATTCCTCTGCCTGGGTGTTTCTCATTTTATTCTGCAGAAAATATGAAGAGAAATCTTTCCTGATGGCTGCAAAGGAGGATTTGTGTGCATACCACCGCTTCTGGAAATACAGCATTGGTATTCAAAACAAACTATTACTCAGGCATAGTTCTTGTCTCTAAAAAAGTGGACTTCTGTATTTGCTGAGCTGCTTTCCTGATTCTCTGCTTGCTCAGAATTTA